TTAGTATATTAAGATATCTTTCTTTTAGATATCAAATGAGCTTAATTAATAAGTGTTGAATACATTCATTCTAAGTGTCAAATTGTATTAAGAAAAACACCCTAATATGTGTTTGATAATGTAAGACCCCATATTAAAATTAAATAAAGATAATATTTTCTTAAAAGTTATCCTAAGATAAATAAAATGATGGTAGAAACTTAGAGTTATTGTTGAAAGATTGATTATTGATTTACGGGGTAAATTGAGTTTTGAAGATGTTTAAACTTGAGAAGTGTGGTTAAGTAATTTAATAAATATTTTTAGGTGAAAATAAGGTTTTATTGAATTCAAAAGATCAAAAAACCTTGGGAGATCTAATATGAGAGTACTGGAAGTTTGGAAGTATTCGGAGTTAAAACCTATTTTGGAGAGATTTGGATAGAAAAAAATTTGATACTATATTAGTATTTTTAGAAATAAATTTTCATGCCGACGTCTGATTGACCTGAAATTTTTACAGTAGAAACTAGACTTCAAGGGCTACAAAAGTATGTTTCACGAAAATTTCGTGAATCAACTTTTAACTAGGTTAAAATAGAGCTGAAAGTCAGGGTTAGACTGTTACCTGCGCCTACACAGAAAGTCTCTATTTTTTAGCCTATAAATACCTTAGTGCCACGATCTAAAGAGTCTTTATCTATTTTTCAACCCCAACAAGCCTACAAAACTTTTAGGAGAAGAAAAAGAGGAAGAATAGGCTGAATCCTGAAGGATTAACACGGGTAATCACAATGAAATACATTATGATCAAGATCTCAAGAATAAAGATACGGTTATCTTCCTAAATTTGTTCATTGAAGCTAGGGTTAGTATATATGTATGTTTTGATTCTAAATTGTATGTATATGTTGTGAAATAATTGTTTCTTGATTTTTTTTGTAAATTATATCATGTCTTGAATAAGGTTATCGTTTGATAACCACAAAAACTCTTATTCTTGTTATCAAAAACCTAATTTTCAAGAAATATAGGTTTTACCCTTGATATTCCATTGTTCTTGATTTAAAAACTCTAGTGTTTTGTTTGAAAAATAAACTTATATTTTTTGATGATCTCTTGCACATTTCTTGAGTTGTTTTGTTGATGAAAAATACCTGAATGATATAGTATCTCTTGTAAGGATATTTTGATGAACATGGGTAACTGTTGATTAGGTATCATTGAGTGGGTAGATGCATTTCTTACTTCGAGTGATTTTGAAGGTTCCTTACCATTTGTAGCGGGGTTGGTACCTTGCGAGGGTAAAATCATTATTCGCTCATGGATATCGAGGTTGAGGGCTAATATACTATTCCTGAGTTGGATTCATCACTATCGATATGTTGGTAGACATCCTTCATAAAGTTGTGTATCCTTATGAGGATTGGGAGTGTGTGTGGGGGTCAGGATATTTTTAATGTGTGTATTTATGCTAAGTCTTACTACATACCTGAGATACATTGTTGGTAATAGTTTGTTGTCTGAAAGTTTGTTTTGCTTCTTCACTTAATTTAGTGCTACTACGTAAACTTGAGATCTAATAAACTATCATTATTTTATTTTAAAAGTCATATATGATATTTTATAAAATGAGACCGACCTATTTTATATGTTTTCAAAATCTTGTTTGAGCTTGGAGGATTTTCGTACAGAGCTTAGTGCTCATCCCATACAAACAACATCTTTTTCAGATTACAGTATAGAGGAACAGCTTGGATTGGGTGAGCAGATAAATTGGAAAGCTTAGATTTATGGGAATGTGGATCCCAAGGTGGATGTTTAGATTTTTTTCCTTTATGTTCTAGATTGGAAGGTTAATTATGAGACAATGTTAAGAAAAATGTTTTATTTATTCCACTGCGAGATAATCTTTGGTTTTTGGATGTAATTGCCATGATTTGATTTATTTGTTTTGGATAATGCTTTAGTTATTATGGATGATGAATGTAATTGATTTTATCTATGGATTTTATTAGTTGCTCTCATGATATGAATAGTCATAAATAGTAATGCCTTCCAAGGTAGATTTTGGGGCGTTATTGATAATATCTTGTAGTGGAACTCACTCAGCTGAGTAGGTTATTGAACAAAGTGTTGCTTGGCCCTATGTTGATGCTTATTGCAACCTAATTTATTTGTAGAGAATAGATGGTTTTAAAATGTGTTACGCATTGTCAATATATTTCATGTACTTGGAAAAACATCATGCTTTTGCAAATGTTTTGTAATCAATAACTTATCATTTAGTAATAAAATGATGGATTTTTTTAACTATATATATGAAAGTATTTTTATTTTCTTGGCGTTTTGCTTTGGACATCTGTTTAGTTGTGGCTGAAATCAATCTATATACTTCTTGATCAAAAAAAAAATCTATATACTTTAATTAAAACAAGAGATACATGTAGAAGCATAGAGAAAATTTAGCAAGGTCAAAACTATCAAAATAAAGGCAATATAAACATATTAAATTTTTTCGTATAGTATTTTCAAACAAAATTTTGACACTGCATCCTCTTGTTTGGGATGACATGTTGAAGAAATTTCTATAAGCTCATAAAAATTGAATGGTATTGCTTAATATTCTTACAACTTAATTATGAGGAAGGTCAGAGGTTCAAACACCTTTTGGGAGGGATTTTTGTATCCCTAGAGCCCTCAACTATGTCCAAGGTATGGCATCAGGAAAAAAAAAACAAGAGAGAGAATTAATTGTAAAAAATCTCCTAGTTCTTAAGAGCAAAAGTAAATGACTCGCATTAATTTTAAACTTCTGCATTAAATCACCTTAAACTTAAAAACAAGATGCAAACCTAACAAATCCCATCCAATTTGACTTTCACACACGCCAGAAAGGCATTTGACTTTTTAATATAAAAATAACAAAAATTAAAATATTATGTGAGATTACAATTTTACCCTTTTAGATAAATTTACCCATTAGAGGGGGAAAAAAGGTATGTTAGTTTAGTTCTCCTTCTCCTAGACCAAACTTCTCAATTTCCACCTACAGATCACACACATCCATACCTATGGGTCACAACTATACTGGAATCGTTAGTCATATATGGATGATTTAAATGCTTTAGTTTGCCATTAACTACAAGAAAGATAGACCCCAAGTCATGTTTGTTACATATTGTTGCTTGTTCAACTTTGCCAGCAAATTATATATAATTTGTTTCTTGAATTTTTGATCGGTTGGGTTTTCGTGGTATGGAGAGGGAGAGGGAGAGGGGAGAGAGAGAGAGAGAGAGAAAGAGAAAGGCAGAGAGAGAGTTGGGTTTTTGATTGATTGGTGTTTCTGGGTATTATTTGAATTGGAAGAGGCAAAATGGGTTAGAGAATGAAATGGTTTTTAGGTATATGCCCAACACATGATTGTTTAATTGATTTTGTGGTTCTCTCAATTGGTTTTCGATATTTTTGGTTGTGGCTTGTAATGGTTGTATATTGGATTTAGGCAATTTTATGACTTTAATTGCAAGGATCATCTATTATGGATGACAGATGAGAAAGGAAGAGGTAGAAAGTAAGTCTGAGTAAAAAACAAAGTATTACACTGAAAATTGAATAAAATTAATGGTATAATTTATGCGGTTGAGTAGCAAAGCTCAGGCTAAAAAGGGGAAAATGGACCAGAAATTTATAAGGGGCGTTAATGAAGTTCACTGGAATACTCAGTCAGAGCTACTAGGCTCTCGATGGTTAAACAATTGACCCAAGATTAATAATAGATAATGAAAATCAATAGACATGAGGTTTATAGTGGTTCACCAACTTAGAAGCTTGGCTAGTCCACTTTAATGGAGTCTCTTGCTCTAGGGAGTTTTTCTATTACTTGGACAGGCTCTATAAAGATGATTCTCAGATATTAGATGATTTGCAATGTAAGGGATTGATCCCCATTTGTAGTGTGTAAAAACATGGTCCTTGCCTAATCAGTGTGAGCCCTTCGGGGTTGTAACGGTTTATGTGATGGAATATTTGGCCATTGAAGGCTACATCCCCTAGGCATGACATGGTTTTCAAGAAGGTGCAAACTTTTGTTGTCGTAGTATGCACGAGAGCCTCATTGGTGCTAACTCCTGATTTGTGGTTCCCGAGCTTGGAGGTCTGAGCTGGGGTCATGAGCTAGGAGTTATGAGCTAAGGTCACGAGGTGTGAAGCTATGGATTAGGAGCTTAGTTCAATCACTCGACCTTAGTTGTCTCAAACTGGGCCACAGATTTCGACGTTATCATGAGGGCCCCTATTAGGGGCATGTCCCCTAGTCCTGAGACAAGTCGGTCTTGCCTGACATGGGTCTAGAATGATTTGCGCTCCTGGGTGTGGATGAGCTCAACTAATATTTACTTGGAATAGGCATGATGGGATGTTTCCCAGATATTTTGGCACTGCATGCGTGCAAGGAGTCATTCACCTCTCAATTGTTGCGCACGTCCAATGCATTTGTGCCATGTGTCCAATCGTATGAGTGCCTTAAATGCCTCTGTAGATAAAAATCACCAAAATTTTCCCCTATTTCGGCATTTTCCACCCTCTCAAACTCATCAACTTTCTTTTTCCAAGAAACTTTTTTCTCTCTTTACTTGCCTCTTGCCTCTAGCCTCATTTTCTTCCTTCGTTCTTCAAGCACTCTTAGCGAGCATTCGGGTTTCTCTTTGGGCTATTTTGTCGACATCTGAAGCTTCCTTCGCTTTTCCTAGTTGCCCTTCTAATCGTCAATCACCTCCGTTTCTAGGTACATTCTTTGTCTCACTCCCTCTATAGTTTTTCTCTCCTAGGGTTTTTTTGTTTAACCTTGGATCCTTCGAATTCGAGGCGATTCTTCCATTTTTGGTTGTTGGTGTCTAGATCCTCAAGCAATTGAGGGTTGTTCTTTGAACATTCCTATTTACTTTAGCTTTGGGTATTTCACTCCTCGTGCCATCATGTTTGCTTCTTCTGAGGCTATTAGGTCCTCTATTTCCCTTGCTATGGATGACAGATCTCCTCAAATCCGATCCCGCCATCGTAGATGGATTGGTTTTCATGACGAAGATGATTTGCCAAACTCCCCCAAGGTGAGTGGAAGGGTTAATTTGTCTGACCCTGATAAGGTTGATGACCTTGGGGATGTGGGCAATTGGATAGATAACTTTTCTGGGGTCAATGTGATCAAAGTTCAGGCTGTTAGTACTTTGGCTTCCATGTTCCTCCCTGGTTTAACTGTGAAGCCTAAGAGGTCTTGGAAGAGATGGGCTAGGGAAAATGTCCTCGGTGCCTCAGGCTCGATTGGAGAAGGTGAAAATGTCCCGAGCACCTCAAACACCTTAGGACCTAGTAAAATTACCCCTCCTCACCTCGGTACCCTTTTTGTAAAATTCAGCTTCCCTAGGGATATGCACGTTTGGTGTCCTAGTGTTGACAATTGTTATAACACCATGCCCCCCTAAAAAGACTTATTTGTTCTCTGTTACTTTTGAGAACGGGCTTAGGTTTCCCATGCACCCCTTCTTATAGTCCATGCTCCAACACTTCAACATATGCCCAGTTCAAATCTCCTCCAATTTTTGGGGTATCTTAGTGGGCCTTATTGTTTTCTTTAAATAAAATGACCTTGCGAGCTCTCCCTGTATCCCCTAACTCATAACTTTCTTCAATGTCAAATTCTCTCATGTCGATGGCTTTGTTTATACATCAAAACGCATGAAGATTCACGTTTTGATAACCGATTTGCTGACCTCCCACAAAGGTTATAAAAATAACTTCTTCTTTGTGTTAGGCAATGGGTGGGAGTTTAACCCAAGGATCGCCTCAGATATACTTCCTGTGCCTCAAGCTTGGTCAAACCCAAATAACTTGGGTGAGTCCACGTCAAGACCTCTCAATTAAGGTCTACCTTTCATTTGTCCTTAGCTTTTCAATTGCTAATGTCTTTTCTTGTTGTTTTTGGTATTTGCCTTGACCGCAGTGTTGTTAACATGATCCTCCTCCAAGACCTAATAGAGTTTCCTCCAGAGAAATATGTCAAGCTTATCCCATGCTTGGTCTTAGCTAAGCACGACTTAGGTCTGCCAATGTTGAAGGGTGAGGCTGTTATACCTCTTTCTGCCATCATATAAGAGGATCTTGCTAGTAAGATCTCCACCTTGTTAGAATTCCATCCTATTTTGTAAGATTTCTAGATAAAACCTTTGTTTTCTTTTCCTTCTTAGATTTTGATGCCATGGCTCTAGATGCTAATGTCGTAAAAGCCAAGCTGTCCAAAATTAGGGCTGACACTAAAGCTCCAAAGGCCTTGGGAAAAAGAAAGACTAAGGTCGTTGTTGATGCCGATCTAGAGCCTTTTGCCAAAGTGGCAAAGATAAATCCCAAGAAGAAGGCTCCTCATACCCCCAAACCATCTGTTGAGGTTAAGAGGATCAAGGATCCTCTTATTGAGCTCCAGAAGACTCTTGCATAGGTGGCCAAGACCTCTGTTGAAGCTGCTCCAACTCTCCATGACCCACTTTTAGCACAAACTTTGGCAGGAGCACCTTCAAAGGTGCTTCATGGAACCTTAGGGGGTCTTCTTATTGCTAGGGTAGGAGGTAAACAATCTCTTCTAGGTGACGTGAATCTAACCTCCAATACCTTACTCTCAATTATCCTTGAAGTCGACATACTGGAGGCTTCCTTAATGCCTCTATCTCTTTTAGCTGCTAGTGCATTATATGGGGTAACCTCGGTGAGTTCCTGACCTCTATCTTCAGGGTTTAACAAGACCCTCTTGCTGACTTCTAACTTGAGTTTACTTATCTTTTTTACATATGGTAGTACATGTCGGTGCTTTTGTGAATTGAGTTCGAGCTTCAGAGAAAGCTGTTGAGGATGCCAAAAAGGCCTTATATGCCTCTAAGCTCAAGGTCTCCGATCTCGTATTTGAAAATGACGAGCTGAATAAAAGGGTCGAGAATCTCAAACCAACTTGGAGCTAAAGAAAAATGGCCTTGTCTAAGCTTAGAAGAATGTCGGGAAGCTCAAGAAGTGATGAGGCTAGCCAAAAATGACCTGAGAGATCTGGGTGTGGTTTGTGACACCTATCATAAGGAGCTTGAGGTTAAGAAATACAAGGTGGGTGATAGGGATGCCTTTATTTTGATCTTAAGAATGAAAATGCCACTACTCGGGAAAAGGGCTACTTTGGCTTTCAGAAGCAAGCCATGAAGAAGTATCCCGATTTGGACTTTGACTTCAAACCTCCTATAGGGGAATAAGAGGAATAAGAAGAGATATCTCTGGCTGATGAACTTTTAACTTTGTAATTTCCATCTGGTTTTCGAATAGTGACTGGTATTTGGCAAAAATTTCTCCAATTAGCATCTTTTCCTTTCTCTACTTCAAGAAGGTTTTTGGCGTTCTGGGAGTAGTTGTTTTAAAACTTGCTTACTTACGGGACCAAGTCTAAGGTCTATGTGGCCCCTAGACTTGGGATCACTACAGCGTTTAGGAGCTTTGAAAAGCTTTTTTTGAGTGCTTTATGAGCTGAAGAGCTCATCAAGTGTTTATGAGCTGAAGGACTCATCATGTGTTTATAAGCTGAAGAGCTCATCGTGTGTTTATGAACTGAAGAGTTCATTTTTTATTTATGAGCTTATCATATATTTAAGAGCTTAAGACCTCATCGTATGTTTATGAACTAAAGAGCTCATTTTTTATTTGTGAGCTTAAGAGTTCATTGTATATTTATGATCTTAAGATATCATATGTTTATGAACTAAAAAGTTCATCTTGTTCTTTTGAAGGGGTGAGCTGATTCTTTAACTGCTATTAGTTGAAAAATGAATCTTTCATTTTCTGATTGAAAATTTTTACAAGGTATTTCTCCTCTTTTGCTTTCCCTGCTATACCCTCCTTCTGGTAAGACCTCTTCAAGTGGTCTGTATTCCACGAGTGAGGTAGGGTTTTTCCCTCTTCAATTTGTAGCTCATAGTTTACTGGCCTAATAACCCTTGTGACTACCTTTCCCAGTTGGGTCCTAATTTTTCATGAGTAGGGTCTTTCCTAGCCACGAGGAGTTTCTTTAAGACAAGATCTCTTACTTTGAAGTTTCTTTGTTTAACTATCCTATTGTAGTACCGCTCTATCTTTCTTTGATAGTCTAAGATGTGCTGCAAGGCGTTAGTCCTCTTTTCATCTTGTAGTTCGAGATTAACGAGTAACATTCTATCATTTTGTTTTGGATCCGTGAACTCTGTCCTTGGAGATGGAGCACCTATTTCAACAAGAAATACTACCTCTGTGTCATAGGCCAAAGCCAAGGGTGTCTTATTTGTGTGTCGTTCTGGTAGTGTTTCTGCAAGCCCGTAGCACCCCTGGAAAATGCACTACTCATTGGCTCTTCGAAGTTTCAATTCTGGTCTTCAACCCTGCATTGATAGTCAGGATGGTGACTTTTACTTGTCCGTTACACTGCGAATGAGCTGACGTGGAGAAATAGTACTTTATGCCAAGCTTGGTGCAGAATTCTTCTAAATGTTGAATTCTTGAACTGCCTCCCATTACTTGAGACGAAGGCCCTTGGGATCCTGAACCTACAAATTATGGATTTTTAAATGAAGTTTCATACTTTCTGCTAAGTAATCCTTGCAAGGGGCTCCACCTCGAGCCACTTAGTGAAATAATCGACCCCAATTATGGCAAACTTGCATTGCCCTGTGCTAACTAGAAGAGGTCCAAATATATCCAATCCCCACTATTGGAAAGGTCAAGGGCTTATCATCAAGGTGAGGAGCTTTGGTGGACAGTGCAGGATGTTTGGGTTGAGTTAATAGACCTTGCATTTTTTAGCCAGTTCATTAAGATGCCCTCGCGAATCTCCCTTAAGATGTAGTTTGCTTCGTCTTCTCCTATGCACTTTAGGAGGGGTGAGGAGAAGCCTCTCTTGTACAGCTTTCCCTAGATGAGGTTGAATCTAGATGACCTAGTCCATAACTGTGTTGCTTCTTTGGAATTTGTAGGTAGAGTTCCATTCTTGTAAATATGCTAGGATTGGGTCCATCTATGTCCGTTGTGTCTCAACGAGAAGAACTTTTTCCAATTCTGAGCTCAATGAAGGCTCGGCCAGGTGTTCAACTAGGACGAATCTGTCTAGGCTTTCTAGTGAGGCGGTGGCCAATCTAGCTAGAGCATTTGCTCGGGAATTCTCTGCTTGGGGAATTTTATGATCTTCAACTAAACAAATTTTTTCAACAACTCTTGCACCTTTTTCAAATGTGCTATCCTTTCTTCCTGGCTTCTTATGTCTCCTTGATCTGTTTCACCACCAGCTATAAATCACCATGTATTATGAGTTGTTCCACTTCCATAGAATGAGCTAACCTGAGCTCAACAATCATTACCTTGTACTCCGCTTCGTTGTTTGAGGCCTTAAAATTGAACCTGAGGGCATACTCTAGGTCTATTCCATCTAGTGAGATTAGGATCAAACCAACTTCGCTACCTTATGCATTAGATGCTCCGTTGACTAAGAGTTTCCATGTCGACAGGTTGAGGGTGAGGTTGTTTATTTATGAGACGCTTCCTGTCCTGTGGGTGTGGTGAACTTTGCCATAAAACTAGCTAAAACTTGCCCCGTAATGGCAGTTCTAGACTTGTATTTGATGCTGAATTTGCTGAGATCGACTACCCATTTAACTAGCCTTCCAAATGACTTGTGTTTGTGCAAGGCCTGCTTTATTGGTTGATTAGTTGAAATTTTTATTGTATGAGCTTGGAAATAAGGCCTGAGACTTCTTGCTGCTGTTACCAAGGTTAAAATCAGTTTCTCCATCTTTGGGTATCTCTCCTCTACTCCCTTAAGAGTTCGGCTACAATAGTAGATGGGTTGTTGAGCTCTTTCTTGGTCTATTACCAGAGCTGCACTTGTGGAGAAGTTTGAAATAACAACGTACAGGGTAAGGACTTCGTCTTCTCGAGGGTTAACCAGAATTGGGGGTGAGATGAGGTATTCATTAAGAGCTTTGAATGCTTCCTCACACCGTTTGTCCCATTAAAATGTTGCCTTTAGTACCTTAAAGAATAGTTGGCATTTATCGCTCGATCTAGAGACGAAGCGATTCAGCATAGCTATTTTTTCCCTCAGACGTTGAATCTCTTTTATATTTGCAGGTGATTTCATGTCAATCATTACTTGGATTTTCTCGGGATTGGCCTCGATGCCACAACTATTGACTATAAAGCCTAGGAATTTTGTTACAGAGACCTCAAAGGCACATTTTACAAGGTTTAGCTTCATCTTATACTTCTTGAGTATTTGAAAGGACTCTTCGAGGTGCTGGATATGAAGCACAACCTTCAATGATTTCACCAGCATGTTATCAATGTAGACCTCCACAGATGACCCAATCTATCCCTAGAACATACGATTTACCAATCGCTGATAGGTGGTCCCTGCGTTCTTGAGCTCGGATGGCATGATCTAGTAACAGTATGTTCCTTGCTCAGTTACAAATGATGTTTTCTCTTAGTCAGTGGGATTTATCCTGATCTAATTGTATCTCAAGAAGGTATCCACAAAGCTGAGCATCTTGTACCCAACTGTGGCATCTACGATCAAGTCGATCCGTGGAAGCGAGAAACTATCCTTTAGGAAAACACAGTTTAGATTAGTGAAATTGATGCAAAGCCACCACTTGTCATTGGTTTTCTTCACAAGGACAACATTTTCCAACCATGATAGGTAATCTACTTCCCTGATTGGAGACTTCTTTGTTTATAGCTTTTTGACGCTCAAGGGCGAAGCTTCTTCATTTCTTATTTATGTGCTTGCAAGATAGATCAACGTTGAGTTTATGCATTATGATTGTTAGTCAATCCCTTGCATGTCCTTCTACCTCTAAGCGAACATCTTGATGTTTACTTTTAGAAATTGGATGAGGAGGTGCTTGAGCTTTTTGAGCAATTTGGAACTAACATACACAAGGTGTCCAGGATCATTGCCCACTTGAACAAGTTCCAGCTTTGCTTAGGGTGTGGGCCTCGTCTCTGACTTATCTCTTATGTCAAGCTCATTTAGTTGTATGGTTTCAACCTCTTTTTGCTTCATCAAAGCCACGTAGCACTCCTTTGCCATGCGTTGGTCTCCTCGGACCATTCCTACATCATTTTCTGTTGGAAACTTCATTACTATATGGTAAGAAGATGGGATGACTCTCATAGTGTTGGGAGAATGTCTTCCCAAAAGAGCATTATAGGCTGAAGGGGAATCTATCACCAAGAAATGTACTATTGTTGTAGACTGACATGGGGGTTTCCCATTGTAAGAATGAGCTGAATAGATCCTTTGGGGAACACTCTCTCCCTCGAGAACCTGAGCAGGTGGATTTTCACTAGCTCGAGCTTGTCTTTGCCTATGCCCACCTTGTAAAAAATGATCATCATTTTTCTGGCTATAATGGCCTTTAAAACCAAATGATCATCATA